TGAGGGGGGTGCTGAGCCCCGCCGGGCCCTTCCGAGTCCCCTTCGCCCTGAGCCGCTTACTCGCCCCCGCGGTCTGCCCACGGCTTTCACGTGAGGGAGAGAGAGAAGTGTCGGCATCTACCTACTCGCTTACCGGCCCCGGGCTTGGGCCCACGGGCGTCCCCCGGCCCCCCCGCCCCCGGGGCAATGGGGCCGGGCAGCCTCTGGGCGGCTTCCAGCTGTGTGCGAAACGGGAGGTCGCCGGCTTTCCGTAGTCTTTAACGGGGTGCGTGTGAGCAGGCTTCACTCCGGGGAAAAAAGTCTAGCCGAAGCCATCGATAGCAAGAGTACGCTCTGTTCAACCCAGCTGCATTTAAGTAGTCGCCAAATTATAATCTCTCAAACGGTACTAATTTTTTATTTGATTCTAGAAAGTAAGAGCCAGTTCCAAACTATTCATTGATGTGGGGGTAATTTTTCTCTTTTTTCACAGCTCCTAGCACTCCTTGGGGACAATGGACAGCTCAGCAGATGCAGCCGGGGTCCTGGAAAGCAGTGATATCGGGTCACAGAAAGACAGAGTGGTGACTGAGGAGGAATGGCTGCAGAGATGGGAAATGAGTAACATTGGGTTTCACAAGGAACGAGGGCATCCGTATGTGACTTTGCTCTTCTGCCTAAGCTCTTTAAAGAAATGCTGTGAGATGAATGATTTGACTCATTCAAAAAAACTCTTAAGAGAAAATGGAGCATTTAGAAAAGGAAGATTATTTGACACAGCTTGAAAGTAAAAGAAATATTTTTGTGACCTACATTTGTCAAAAAAGGGCAGAGAAGAGAAAGGATTGCATTGAGTTTAGAACTTTTACTCTTTAATCATGTTTTAAACTATAAAGCTTGGATAGCTTGACTAAGAATCTTAAATTTTCTAAACCAGAAGCTCTGCATTGCTGTTTGTAACTTATGAAACTGGGGCCTAAAACAATATGCAGAGGGCATTGGAGCAATTATTGTGCACTGGAAGACAGGGACCTAAGGGAGCAAACCTGATTATATAGTCTTGGAACCAATGACAGTTACATTTAAGACCTGTATAAGTTATTTGATTGATACAGGAGTTTAATAATCATTCTGTTTAAGTTGTCTATTGTGGCCCTCTTAGAGGTGGGTTGGTTGGTTTGTTTACTTGAAAAGACAAACAAACAGAAAACAGAACAAAGAGAAATGTGTTCTTTTCTAACAGAAATCAAATTTACTTTCTTTCTAAGTAAATGGGAAGTGTATGTTTTTATTTTATGTTTTCATTTCTAATGGTACAAAGCAGGTTGAACTATGTTCAGGAAGAATCTATGTTCCATCATGGAGTTTGCGTGTTACCTGGCATAGCGTGTAGCACTTGGCTTTTAACATGCCAGCACAAATACTCGCAGTGTTAAGTAAAACATGTCTGTTCTTCTGCAGGCTTCTACAGAAGTATCTGGATGTTCTTTTAAATGGCAGGAGTGGACTGAGGATATTTTTCCCACTTTGTGGTAAAGCAGTCGAGATGAAATGGTAAAGCATGGATTATAAAAGCAAAAATCTTATTTGATGTGGGGAGGGAGGGAGGGAGAAGGGGAATTCCCAACTTTATATTGGCCAATGGAAATGTGCCGCATCTCTGCTGGTAGGAAAGCAGCGTCACTGGAGGCTAAAGGGAGGAGGAAGTTTGGTTTCATTTGCTGGTGTTTTGTATAGTAGCATAAATGGGATGGATAAGGACTGACCTGAAAGTCTTCCTGGTCGTCCCAGGTTCAGCTTGGGGAACGCTGAATCTGTGACGGACAGAGTGACTGAAGCTGTGCCCTTACCACTGCTTCTTTTGGTGGCAATGCCATCTTAAATTGCCTGCAATGAGGTCAGTTGTACCAGAGCATGTTTTTATGGAACCATGTGGCATGTCACACTGGGAACTTAAGTGATCTGGGCTAAATATAACTTCCTTTTTTTAAAATTTGTTATTTTACTTTTTTGGCTGGGTTATATTTATAATTAGGGGCGGTGTAAGCCAGTGTTTTTTCTTGGAGGGAGGGGACGCAAACCAAAAATCCCTGATTGAACTGCATCCGCAAGGAATCAAGTCGGTCCCAGTTATCAGGTTTTATCATGGTAACTACTTACTAGGCTGACTGCAGGCTCTGACGCACGTTGCTGTTGCGCTGAGCTGCAGCAGTGGAGAGGTTACCACACCCTGCTGCCTTCATCGGAGCCGAGCGTTACTGCCAAGCTGCAGAGGCAGCTGGGTGGACAGCGTGCTTCAGCCGCTGCAGTTCAGAGCAGAACATATTCTGTAAACCAAAATGGACAGTTTGTCTGTGTAATCACCTCTGTTTTCCTCGAGTTCATAGAAATAAATGAATAATCCGTTGAATCTAAATAAAGCCTGTAAGTCCTCATCAAGTATGCCAAGTGGTGCTAATGTAAGCTCAGATCACGGAGGGGGGGTGTTCAATGAAATGTGAACGCTCCAGAAAGTCACGATTAGACATACCAGTGCATCCTAAACCCAGGGTTTCCCTTATGCGTAAATGCTGCATGGGAGATACACATTTGGTAATGGCCCAACCTGTGGGCCTCACGTAAACTTGGGACCTCTCTCTGCTGTGTGCAGGCTGGCGGACATGGGACACAGTGTTGTTGGTGTGGAAGTCAGCGAGCAAGCGCTGAAGGAATTTTTTGCAGAACACAGCCTGCCTTATTGCGAGGAGCCAGTCTCAGAGATTTCAGGAGCAAAAAAGTTGCAGGTGTGTTTCCTGCATTGTCGAATGATCTGGTGTGGTTAATCATGCAATGCAGGCATAACCAAGCAAACAAGTCATTCTGCTTTTATGCCTCTGTCATACTGGTAATCATTCACCTCTCCTGAAGAGGTCTGAAAGGAAGCTCTGAGTTGTAACTTTGGACTGAGAAGTCTTCTTTTGAGCTTATTACTTTGGCCTTCTTTTCTTGTGACATTGAAGCACCTGAATGTAAAGTAAATGTATTTTAAAATTGGACAGTTGCGTGCCTTGACAGATCACAACCTCTCTGGAGGGGGTCAGGAGAGGTACCTCAGTAAAGAAAAACTAAAAATGTTTCTCACAGTTTTCCCCATTACACCTAAATATATATTTTAAAATAGTATATGTGTATATTTTAAGGTATAAAGTATAAATATATACACTTATAAGTGTATATTTAAAGATAGTTTGCTGATAAGTATTGTTTCCTTTGTTTTTTATTGTAGAGTACCTCTGGGAACATTTCTCTCTACTGCTGCAGTATTTATGATTTGTCCAGGTAGGAATACATAGTGTGTTTTACAATTCTGTATAATCAAACATGTATTAATACTGTCATAATACTGTCATTATTTTATTTGATTCAGCCATAAAAATTTGGAACAGGTCCTCTCAAGAAAACTCTTACTAACTTGTATGAGAAATGTGAATAGCCAGTCTCCAACAAAAACTAACTCTGTTGCTGATCATTAGTTAAAGATGCTAACTAAATATCTTTAAATGGGCTTCTTGTTCTAAGCTGTCCTGTGAAAGTTATAGAAAAACATGTTTGCTTTTACAGTAAAAACATTAATATTATTGATAGATTCTACGAAGCAAAACCCTAGCACAATCCCTTACTCAGAGTAGCTTAGTAAAAGTAAAGAGAATATACCTGGAGGTGTCGTCTTAGACAGCTTTTCCTTTAACTAAGTATTAAATGTATTTTTTCCCCAAACTATTGATTAACATGTGCATAGGTAAGCTGTACCCATTGCTTATATGTGTCCCATGCTTTACTTAATGTACTTTTCTCGATGGGCGTAAAGTACATTACATCACTCCAGTGTATGTGACTACGTAATATATTTCCAAACACTGACTCTGCAAGTGTCTTGAGAAACATGGCTCGACTTACTAATGTCTTCTGAAGGATTTTTGGTGCTAAAATGTCCTTATTTCTTAGTTAAAAGACACAACAGAAAATGCAAAATACTTCAATACAGTCCACACTACTGACTCCTGAAAAATGTTTCAACCCATTGTGCTCTGTGGCCTCAAGTGTCGCTTCTCAGATTTTGTGGTGGCTTTGCACCTGACCTTCTGCTCAAGTGTCACTGAAGCCATCTGCCAGCATATCCAGGAGCAAAAATAATGTCTGTGGCAGTGGTAGACTGAGGCAAGCAGCAGTGTAACTTAGCTTTAGTTAGTTTTTCTAACATTAAGCAAATTGCAAGCTGAAGCTGTCCTGGGCATGTAGCTGGGAATTGAGGTTTCTAAAATTGGTGGGTGTGCTGAGTTCAATGATACTAAAGCAACGAGGCACCTTCCTTAACCAGCGTTTGAAATCATGCATGGGTTTTAGAAGGTGGCCAAGAACTATCATGCTGAGTGCACGTTAGTGCTGCCTCAAGGGTCATGGCAGGGTACGATTGCCAAAACCCCGGAGTTGTAGCCCAGATGTGTCAAAGCTACTTTCCTTCCTCCCTGCCTTGTCTCAGCACCCCCTAATGATGGGGAGATGCTGAGCAATTCCAGCACCTCTTTGCTATAGCAGCAGGGCCACGTACTTAGGGGGGTTTCTTGGGACTCAGGTCATGTTGTTTTGGATCATGAAAATGCTGGACCGTAACAAAAAGGTAGTGGGGAATCTGCACAGCTAGCTGGAGAATCCTTGTGACTTCACAGAAGTATCTGAATAAAGACGAAGGTGCCTTTTTGGTGGTTTTAAGCCTTTTCCTCATCTCCCTATAGCTCAATAGTTGACAAGTTTGATGGGGTTTGGGACAGAGGAGCTCTAGTAGCTGTGAATCCATGTGACAGACAACGGTTAGTAAATTTGCTTTCTTATTGTCTTTTCTCTAATGTATGCAGTGACACATGTTTTTCCTCCTGCCACTTGTCGATGAGTCCCCTTTCATTAAAAGGAGTAACCTACACAAGTTCTTCTCTACTGCAAGCATCAGCTGCAGTTGCAGAGTGCTGTACTCTAGTTTTGTGAGCTTCCTTCAGGAAGCCGCCCTGCCTCTTGGTGGGAAAATATGTGGTTTGTTGCAACCCAGCAGAAGCAGAGCTGCAAGTCTCATCTGAATTTTATTATTTCCTTTTCACCCCATCTGCTTCTCCTCTCTTTGTTCTTTTTCCCCTCACTTCCCTTTATTCCAATTTTTTGTTTTTGCCTATAGCCAACCCAAATGTAGTTTGACCCTACCCCCAGGATTTTTTAATTAGATACATAATCTCGAATTCACAATAATTTTAAAAGATCACTACTGTATTGTGTACTGTATTCTAGACTGTGGCAGATGAATACTGTGTTTTGTCTGTTAGTTTTGAGATGAATATGCAAAAAAATATAAATGCTTGTTTACAGGAGTAAATAGTAACCTTTATTTGAGGTGTTTAATGTGTAGCATGAATTTCATGCTCGAGATTCAAACTAAGCTTTGCTTAGTTTCTGTGCAGTTCAGTTCAAGTTGTCTCTGCCTAGAAATACGTTACCTCTTTTGTTGAGTATTTTGAATGCTGTGCTTGAATGTTTGTACAGTTCCAAAATAATAAAGTATAACTTTCTCCTTTTAGCTATGTCAGTTTGATGATCACCCTAATGGAGAAAAATTCTTCTTATCTCCTCGTTACGGTTTCCTATGATCCAAACAAACACAAAGGTGAGAACTTTGCACTGTTCATGTTTTCATTTTGCATACTTTAATATAAATTATATGTAGATGTGGTAGACACATTAATATCTTTCCCAGGTTTTTTATCAGCATAGCTTTGTCAGCTGATCACACCAATACAACTGTGTGTTAAAAATTTTAGATGTTGCCCAAGCTTGAGACTAAACTTGCTTTCTCTCTAGCATTCAGACACGCTAAGGGTAAGTGGAGGACAGACATGGTATATATTAAAGGAACGAACTGGAAGTGTGGCTATGACAATGAAGCTGGAAGAGTGAATGCTTAGAGTAACATCCTGTCTGGCCTAGGGAGCTTGAAGCACTCCTGAGAACATTGGCTTCGCCCTGTTTACCCAATACTTGCAACCCAACGTGTTGCCCATCTTGTGCCTCTCTCCCAGCCGCTACCATGGTCTGAATATGCTTGGAAGAGGTGAAATTCTGTAAAATCATAAAGTATTTTTTCCTATTACAACTTTTATTAAATACCGAAGTCTGAGGTATTTTTAAAGATTTTTTTATTTGTTGATTATTAACTCTCAAAAGAAAGAGATTTCTTGCTGCTTTTGAGCTCTTCAGCGTAATTATCCCTGAAAAAATAGGTCTTGTTATCATAAGTAACAATAGCTTAATTCATTGCTCTCCCTCTCACATTATTTAGCTTTTAGCTTTAATTATGCCATTGTAGTGTAAAGAGATCGTTGGCCAGATTCACACAGCGCACTGAGAGTGGTTGTATCCACGGCATGTTCGTGACTTCTGACAATGTGGCTACCCAGGCTGCAGCCTGGAGACAGCCACACCTGAAGCTGTTTGGTGGCCCACCAAGGTGCCACATGTTCTTGGATATGGTGTTTTCTGGTTCCTGCAGATGGTGCTACACACTGGGGCCTGATTGCGCTGTGAGTGATGGGGCTGGCTCTCCTGCTGCAGTGTAAATGTTTGTCTCCTTCCCATGTCTTCTCTCTGATTAGCTTCACCCATTTTCTTTCAGGCCCACCATTTTATGTTCCTGAATCTGAAATTAAAAGCTTGTTTGGTAAGCAATATTTCAGCTAACTCTTAGGAATTTTTTCCAAAACACATAAACGTGTTTATATGCTTCTACCTCACCCTGTGACAAGTGGTAGAGAGTCATTTGCTTCTTATCTATGGGGTGGAGTCATGGAAGAATAACAGGGAAAATAAATACCATTTAGCCACAGGGATTTTGCTGTCAAGGAAAATCCACAGCTCTTCAAAAGATACGAAGAAAACCCAAGAGACAGATACTGTCTCTTTCCTCCCCTTGGCATCTTTTCATTCTCCCAGGATTCATACTGCACTCAGTGATCTTGTAGCTGCAGTCTTAGTCCTGTTTGACCATTTTGTCTTTCTCTGCACCTCATCACCAGCTACCCTGGTTTTAATACGAGGCCTTTGCATACCAGTTCTACAGTTTCCGCTGTACTTTTATAGCCAAAGAAGAAAAGTAACATGCCATGCGAAGAAAATGCTAAATGTACAACTCAAATCCATCAAAATAATGAAATTCGGAATTATGGCGGGAATTTAATTTTAAAAGTTCCTCCTGATATGCTTTGATATTGCATTTCTTTTAAATTTACAACTTTGAGACCCCTGCAGTGTCTGTGTGCAGTGAGTCATTGGCATGGACAGTTGCATCCCAATGCAAAAGAGATGGATTAGTTTTTCCCAGTGCATTTATGCCACTGCATTAGGGACTGTGAGGAAATCTGTGGATAAGATTCCCCCCCCCCCCCAATAGCTTGCATTTTTCAGTGACTAATCATTCAGTAATTTATTACTCTTTCCTCCTTTTCAGGCAACCACTGTGAAATTAAGTGTCTTCAAAAAGTCAATGACTTCTCAGACAAACACAGGCAATGGGGATTAGATTATTTTCTGGAGGTGCTCTATATACTAAAGTTTGTAGCTTGATTAATTAAAATAACTTACCTCCCATCTTGCTTTTGTTTTTATCTCACCTTCTGAAATGAGACATGTTTTGCGGCACTCTTAAGGCAGGCTTCAGTGTACAGAAAAATGCCTGTGGAACAAAAATTGTCCATTTTGCTTACCAAGTCAGCTCTCCTACATAGCTGCCTTCACTGTCTTAAGATGCGCATAGCTTTTCTTAAACTCCATGCACAAAGAAGCATTTTTAAGGTATATCTTTCTCTTCCATATCAATGCAAATCATCAGAGCTGGGGGAAATAAATGTTCCTGTTCCTTTTTGGCTGTTGCCGGTCAATGCTGTCTGCCCGGCGCTCCACGGGTTGGCCTCATCGGCCGGCAGCCCCAGGAGCAACAGCGGCTGCTGGTCAAATACTGTTTCCTGCGACGCTGGCCTCGCGCCAGACCGGGCAGCTGGGCGAGAGAGGCGGGAAGCTGGCCCAAGTTGCTTCTCTCCGTCCCCGTTAGTCGTGATTACAAGTCAAGCGACGAGCTGGCAGCGAGCGGGCAGGAACGCCAGCAGCCGCCAAGAGGGAACTATCATCGAGCAGGAACGAGAGGAGGGGAGCGAACCGGATGACAATAAACGAGAAAGCATGGGGAGAAAATGGCCCTGCGGTTGCTCGCGAGTGTGCTGTTCCCTCCTGCAAGAGCACAGCTATGAGCAGGCGAATCGGCACAGGGCTTGTAGGGTGAGAGGCTTGAAAGAAAGCCCGCAGAGCTGCTGCGCGGCCATCCGAACACAAACCTTCCTTGGGGTGTCTTCTATCACTAAAGATACTACTGCAGTTCTTAAAAATTACAAAATTTGGGGCTCTCAAA